ATTCTCTAGAATTTCCTTGTATTTGTCTAGTTTATTAGAATAGTAGAACATAGTCCAGACTGGGTTAAATTACTCATGTGCTGCTTTAGGCAGTTTTGATTTTGCAACTCCCAGTGTAAAGCTGACTGTCCGTTGTCTAAGGATGTCGAAGCACTGGTATGGCTTTTACTTTACTACAGAGTAAAAGCTCACACATTGAGATTGTTCAGTGCCAGGCAGACCTTTCAGATCAGGCTTCTGGGCTTGACGGATCTTGTTAAAGTCAAAAACTGAAAAGGAAAAAAGCTGAATTACAATTTGATTGTGTTCCTTTACAAATGCAGTAGAAGTTGATATATAACTTATTTACAGTTTTATTTATCTGTACTAAGATTTAACTTTGGGGTTGCACACTTTGTAGGCAGGCTCTCTAGCTACCCCTTGAGCCATGCCACAACCCTCATTGCTTTAGTCATTTTCACTTAGGGTCTTGTGTTTTTGCCTGGGACTTGCCAAGACTGTGAACCTCCTACTTATGCCTCTGTGTAGCTGGGATTATAGATGTGTACTAATATACCTAGCTTGTTTGTTAGTTTAGATGTTTCTTGCTACCTTGTTTGTCAGTGTTGGCCTGCAGCCATATCCTCCTGATCACCTCCTAAGTAGTTGGGTTATAAACCTGAGCCACTGAACTGTGTTCAGTTTTTATGACTTTGTTTTTTGTTTGCCAAATGAAACAATAGGTGTAAAGTGTGTTCGCTAAAGAATAAAAGTATGCTTATTGCCATTGTTGCTCTTAAGAAATAACTGTAGCAGAAAGAGCACTTCTGGTGTTACTGTCTTTGAGTTTTAATTGTGGCCCCTGAGCTAATGACAGTCAAGGGACCTCAGGCAGGTCACTCTCCTCTCTAGTCCAGGAATGTTTACTCTGTGAAAGGAGAGGAGGATAAATTGGAACTTTGGGGTCTTCTAACAGAGTGGTCCACAGTAGTATGGGCATCAGATTAAATATGAACGCTGATCCGCCTGAGATTGAATCTGCTTCATTGATCTTGGCATCAGCAGCTAAGTATGCAGGGATTTTGTGAGGAGATCTTGCTGTGGTAGATAACTGCTGCTTTCCTTCCTTCCCCATTGCCTTTCCTTCTGTACATAACGTCGTTTGTCCTGTCCTTCATGCTGTTCTTTGTTTTCATTGCCATTTCACTTCCTGTGTTTCATTCCTGTATCTTTCTTGTCTAGACCAAGTGGAGCAGCCAGCTGGCAGTAGCGCCATGCAGGACTCTGCAGGACCCCGATGGTAAGTGCACTCGTGTACTTGCCACGTGCCAGCCACTCCTCTTGCCTGGAAGATGGAAACTCACAAGCCCCCATCCCCTTTGGCAGTGTCCTGTCCATTTTTTTTTCTTTTCATTTGATGACATAGAGTACAAGTATCAGGGAAGACGTTTCCTGATTGAGGAAATGTAGCAGATTCTTCTGTCTGTCCTTGCACTGTTGGGTATCATGACCCTAGGCATAAGTGTGAGCAGGACTCTGGTTCTAACCTGATTAATACTACTGGCTCCTCGGCATTGTGGTATCTCCCACAAAATAGCCAATAGGGCAGACGGTTTTTAGAGTGCCTTCATCTCTGGTGTCTTGAGAGATGGTTCTGGTGGAATGAGACAACTGTTTGATGTGATAGGCAAATCCGGGTTTAGTGAACGAGCCATAGGACCATGATACACAGTTGTCATTGTCTGCCAAAGTACTTTGGTGATAAATCTACCTGTTGCATTCCTTCATTTTACAAGTGGTTTCTCAGTGTTATTCAGGTACTCAACTATAATTTTTAATATATATACACGCACTACAGTCTTACATGTCGTCAGTGTTTTCCATCACACAGTATATTGGGCTAACCTGGTAGCTCTTTTTTTTGGGTCCGGTCGTGGGCCCTGAACTCTGGGCCTGGGTGCTGTCCCTCAGCTCTTCAGCTCAAGGCTAGTGGTCTACCACTTGAGCCACAGCGCCACTTCTGGCTTTTTTCTTTTTGCTTATGTGGTGCTGAGGCATCAAACCCAGGGCCTCAGGCATGCAAGGCACACGCTCTACCATTGAGCCACCTTCCCAGCTCCCTCCCCCACCCTTAGCTCTTAACAGGTAGAAATTCTTCCCCAAGGGACATTGGCCATGTCTTGATACATGGACATCACATTGGAGTGGGGTGGGGCCACTGTTGATTTGTGGGTTAATACAGCAGTGTTGCACATCATTCTCCGCCCACAACAAAGAATTAATCTATATTAGCCTAATCCAAATTTACATGATGCAGTCAAGATACCTGGATATCCTGTAGCTATCTGTGTAGGGTACAAGTGGCTTCTGATCTCTACACAGTGGGCTATACTTCGAAGGTCATGACTTTTATACAAACATCTTTGCTGAGGTAAAAGGGAAACTTCTCATGGATTAGGTTTGGGGAGTCCAAAAAATGGACATTGGTTTGAGCTAGGTCTTCTAATATTCTTTTAAGCAGGAAAGAATAAAATGCGCTTTAAAAATAGTTATGCAGTTAACATTTTGTTACTTTTTAGTGAACAGTATTAGTAAAGTTGTTTTTTGCTTCATTGTAATGGAAGCATTCAAATTTCATTTATTCAGTACTGTACTTAAGTGCCAGTGTGATTTTGTTTGCATGTGAAGTGCTAACTCGGTTTTTCACAACAGTGAATTGCAGGAAATCTTTGCATTGTCTCTGTAAGGGACCACATCACAACACAATTTTACAGCGTGGACTTATAAATCTATAAGATTTATGTTTAGACCATACCTCTCTATTTTAGTTTATCTTAAAATCTCATACACTATAGAATGTAAGTGGCCAGTGAGAAAAGGTCACATTCTTCCATTTGCTTTGGGACATATGGTAGTTCTGATGCCTTAGAAGATTTTTGTGGCTTTTCATTCAGGGAAAAACATCTCAGTGTAACTTTTGAATGAAGCATGTCAAGGGCTGGGCCAGGGTGCTTCACAGTTAAGAAAGAAGCGTGGCTTTTCTCAGACAGCAGTGGTGCCAAGAGCATTAGGTCATTCTGTGTAGGCAGATAGTCATTTCTGTTGGCATGTGCGTGGGTAGATAACACTGTATTTGGTATCAGTAATCTAATATGGCCTCACACAGGAAGGGCATGTGTCATAGTAGGGACAAGTAAGCTGGTTAACAAGAGACAACCCAGATTTCCCATCAATGCAAGTGGCTCCTTCCAGAGCCTCTTTTGCCATCAGATTTAGGCTAAGTGCTGCTAGTTTGGCAAAGGGAGGTTCTCATCTAAACAGATGGATGCCTATCTCCATGCAGGGCCATTAAATAGTCTGTATCCATTGCCCTCTACTGTGCCCCTTCCTGTTTGCACCAGATGTGGCTTTAGTGAAGCGTGTGCTTGTGTACCCAAGCTGTAGTGACTTCCTGTGGACAAAAACAGGCTTATTAATAGGAATTACAGGGAAACCTTACATACTATAGTTTTAGGGTACAGGATGGGACAGAAGCTAACCAAACTAAAAACTTTTTGTGTGTGTGCTAATATTAGGGCTTGGACTCAGGGCCTAGGCATACTGACCCCTTCCTTTTTCACTCAAGGCTAGTGCTCTGCCACTTGAGGCACAACTCCACTTACAGCTTTCTTTCTTTTCTTTTTCTTTCTTTTTTTTTGGTTTCTTTTCTTTTTCTTTTTCTTTCTTTTCTTTTGGTCGGTCATGGGATCTGAACTCTGGCCTGGGTGCTGTCCCTTAGCTCTTCAGCTCAAGGCTAGTGCTCTACCACTTGAGCCACAGCACCACTTCTGGCTTGTTCTGTTTATGTGGTGCTGAGGAATCGAACCCATGCATGCAAGGCAAGCACTCTACCACTAAGCCACCTTTCCAGCCCGCCCCCCCCTCTCTGTTTCTTTTTCTTTCTTTCTTGTGGTTAATTGGAGATAAGAGTCTCATACACTTTCCTGCTTTGTCTGGCTTTGAACTGTAATCCTCAGATCTCAGCCTCCTGAGTAGCTACAGATTACAGGCATGAGCCACCAGCATGTGGCTCAATCCTAATTATTATTTTTTTGATGGTGCTATTTTATGTCATCTGTTTTTGACATGTTCCTCTAATGATTCTCTGTTGTAGAGAATATAATTTTCCATATGTTCCAGGAGTTATAAATGGGTTCTTGTTTTTCATTTTGCTAATACGGTGATAAAAGTGGCTTGTTTCTAAAAGGGGGACAATTGTGTCAGTAGGGGTCTGTGGAGGAGAGTAGTTAGAGAAAAGGAAGTGTTCCAGGAAAGATGTATGAATCTGCTTACATCTTGAGACAGAGGAACAACAGCTCTTGGAGGGAAAAATATGCCAAAGGCGGAGTAGCAGTTGTGGGTTATGCCTATGCTTTGGAACCTGCCTGTAATGAATTCATGTCCTTACTGCATTCTCTCTGGACCTCAGTTTATTTTCTCAGTTCCTAAAGTATGAAATGACTTGAAATGCTGCAGTTAGTATTTCCTGAACTTCATCCCTCCAACCATTAGTGAAATGCTGAACTGTGCTGGACTTAGTCAAAACCATAGGGCCCTTTGAGAGACATGCTGACCCGTGTGATTTATTCATAATTACCCTGTGTTTGATACTTGACCGGTGTGCGTGCATATCCCTTACAATTCTGTGGAATCTCTTCTCTTATTTTGCTTTGACAGTAATAGTTATGTCTTAACCAAAAGGGCTCCCAAGTTATACTATATTGTTTTTCTCCAATATGCTCTTGTGTGTCTGTTACTTGTATAGGATTATTAACTTGATGGGTACTGTAACTATGAAGGAAACGAATTCCCAAAACTTGGCTTAAAAATATATTCATCATCCATTCTTTTCTTTTGGAATCCAAAATGATAATAATTTCCTACAAATACACAATGTACCATGATTGGGTTAATAATCATCTCCTTCCAGAATTCAGAGTGATAACAACTGAGTGAGCAAATAAATAAATGTTGTGTTTCAGGGAAGAAAAAATCCCAGGAAAATAAAAACAAAGGAAATAAAGCCCACGACATACAGCTGAAAGCCAGTGATCCAGATTCCAGCTGTGCAAATATGAGAGACTCTGAGGAAGGTAAGCTCATGATGCAGGACTTGTCTGATTTGGGTATGTACAACCAGTTAGTTGTTGCCTTATCTTGTTCTTCTGAGAATTGTCCAAGAGCTATATAGGAATCAAACAGCAAACAAACAAAACTGTCTACATTTAATATGGTGACCCAAATCTTCCACATCTTACCTTTCAAGAAATTACCCAAGAGCATCTTCATTAAACATGAACTTATTCTCTTGTTGAAATAAAATGAAACCTATTTGATTGCATTTACAAAGAAAGTGAAGTGTGCAGCTATCAACACAAATCTGTGGTGACAAAAGGCAGGACTGACTAGGAAAGGCTGAGGCTTCCAGGACACTGGCAGTGTTCTACTGCTGATCTGTGCACTGGCTAAATGGGCACATTTATTTTATAAAAATTACCTTGCTGTATATACTTTATAATTTGTCCACTTGAACGTATGCTTTATACTTCAAATAAATACTTAAAATATCAAACACTTGACATTTATAAAACAGTGCAAGTTTTTGTTTTTGTTTTTGTTTTCCTGGCTACAAGTTTATTCAACACAAAACAATCTCCATCTTTACTGGGTTGGCTGACCACATTCATGACCAAATCCACCTCTAAACTGCAATTCAGTTGCTGAACCAGCCCCAGCCTTGGCTTTCTTGTCAGCACCAGGGGGCACAGCACTCCATCTGTAGGTGTCTGTCAGCTTCACCTCTTGTGAGTCTTGCAGGCCACTTGCCCTCCACACCTTTTGTCTGAGGCCTTCCAGTCTCAGGTGGGCTGCATCACAAAGTAGCAGGCCCAATCTCGGGAGGCAGGTGGAGATACTGGATATCTCATTGCTTAGGTACCAATAAAAATGCCTCCAGGCAAACTGTTCCTTCATGTAGCCCTGAGACTTGAGAGACTGCATAGCCTTCATGACGTGAAGGTTGGGTACATTCTTGTCTGCCAGTTCTGGGTGCTTGGGCATGTGGACATCCTTCTTGGCTACCATAACCCCCTCCTTAAAAAGGAGTTCATAAATGGCAATCTGGTTTTTCTTGGGCATCAACATCACGGCGGCTTCAGGGTCTGAGGCCGAGGCTGGAAAAGCGTCTTTTGTTATTTTTATCTCTGTGTGTCTCTACAAAATGTTCTTTTAGTCCCTTTGAGCATTAATATTCTAGACCTTTGATAATGTAATAATTCTTAGAGGCAGGTATTGAATCAGTGAAGCAGTTTGCTTGTTGCAATTGAACCACTATATTGAGTCTATTGATACAAAAATGAGGGAGATGTGTCTGGTCAGAATGAGGTTGATCCTGAACAGTGTAGTTGGGGGTCCCCTGGATTCTTTACATTCTTCTCAGCAAACAGTTTACATGATAAGCAAATGATTGAGACTACACTTTGTGTTCCTCTCACATCTCTTTATGTTTAGGTCTTAGCACACCACATCACGTGTGTAGACATGCCTTGGTGTGGGCATTAGAGTTACTGGAACTGTGCATATTTAGGTTCCTATAACTTCTGACAGTTTTAAATTGGGTTGTTGCCAATCATAGGGAAAAGCAATCTCTCAGAGTCTCTTTTTTAATCCGAGGAAGCCACAGATAGTGATCGAAAATGAACTTTAGGAAGTGATTCCTGAATCCTAGAAGTACATTTTTTTGTCTTGTGTTGATAATTGAAACAATATTCTAGGTATTTGTTGAAAATACATTTGAGAAGAGACCTAATTTGAAATTGAATGAGTTTCCCAGTTGTGGAAAGCTTTTAGAATTTCTGAAATTTGTCTAGGGGAGAGAAAGCTGGTTCTATTTAGAAACAAGAGCCTCATTACTAGTCAGTGTAGTGGTGGGCTACAAGTACTAGCAAAAAAGTGAGGCCTGTATTCCAAGGACGTAGCAAGAGGGCTGGGATGATACTGAGCTTGTTTTCAGAGTTTGCAGCAGCTATTCCTTTTGGTCCTCTGCCCACCTCCACTGCATTCATGAGTGCATAGACCACATCTGCTTGTCCTGCAGCCCTCTGGTGTGGTAAGCAGGATTACTGTAGTTCAGTCCTTGCTTGGCTCCAGTGGCTCACATGGCCAGTGTGTCAGCAAGTGTCATCAGTTTCATGTCCAAAGTCTATGTCCACAGTCTGACTACTTGCACCACCTTTCCCCACTCTTCACCAGCGTGTCACCACTCTGCCCTTCTGGAATTCACACTGTTCTTCTTGTTGCCTACCTCCTCCCATGGCCACCTCTAGTTGTTGTTCTTCCTCATGGCAGCCAACAGGATTCTCTTGACTATAGTCATTTTACGTTTCTGTTAGATTCTTCTGGTAGATCCCTATTGACACAAGGTGTTAAGGCCAGCTTGTGATGACTTGTGTTAGCAGGTAGAGGTAACTAGGCCCCTGGTTACCATTCTAGCCTCTCCTGCTCCTTTCCCAGTCCTTCCTTGAACCTGTCTCACAACCTCTTGACTCAGAGCTTGTATGTTTACTGTTTTCCTTGATCTTTGCATGGCTTCTTAGGTTGTTTTGGGGGGGGGGTCAGTTGTAGGGCTTGAACTCAGGGCCTGGCTGCTGTCCCTGAGTGGTAGGCTAGTGCTCTGCCACTTTGAGCCACAGTACCACTTCTGGTCTTTGTTGGCTAATTGGAAGTAAGAGTCTCACGGACTTTCCTGTGGCTTCAAACCACAATCCTCAGATCTCAGCCTACTGAGTAGCTAGGATTACAGGCATGAGCACTGTCGCCCGGCTCTTGTCATCTTATTAGAGACCCCTGCAGCCTAGCTCTTGTCTGTCCCAGATGGGGCTGAGCATAGAAACTTAGAAGTGACCTGCGTAAGAATTTGATCTAATTTTGTGATTGAGGAACTTCTAACAATGTGCCCTAGAAAGTGGTCTAGTTTCTGAATATATAGTTTTATACAGGAATGGGAGAGAGGATCATCTGCTCTATCCATGCTATCAAGAATCTAACCTGGTGATGAGTTTAATAGTTTCTGTGCGTGATGAGGAATGGAATTTACAAATAGTCTCTTTAAATGTAATATTGACTACTGAATATTACTGTTTACAATTTCCGAAAAGAAAGATACTTGTGTGTGATCTGATACAGAAAAGAATGTCCACCATGTCTGTATGCCCAGAATGTTGCCTGATACAAAATAGATACTCTATACAGATTTGTTCAGTGAGTGGAAGAAAGGTTTATAGATGAACTGCATAAAGTAGAAGTTATTGTTCATTATATTCTCAGGCATTTTAGGTGAGAAGTAGCTAGAATCAGAGGAATTAAGCTTAACACCTAGTTTTGCCTTCACCTCTGTTTCTGCTTCCTTGGATCTTCTAGGTCCTGAAGAAGAGGAAGAGAGGCCTTTGGCTTCGGTGCCTGAAAAGCCAGCTCTTATCCCAGAGGTGGGCAGTCAGGACCTGCCTCCAGAGCTGGCTGGCCCTCTCCCTGCCTGTGAGCCACAACCAGAGCCAGGTGGGAAACAAGCCACAGATTGTGAGATCAATGATGTGGAGGAAGTGGAAGAGGAGGAGGAGGAAGAGGAGGAGGAAGATGATGGTGAGGATGATGAGCTGGAAGAAGATGGGGAAGAAGAAGCCGACATGCCAAATGAAAGCTCTGAGAAAGAACCAGAAATACGGTGTGATGAGAAGCTAGAGGATTTGTTAGAAGAACCAAAAATCATTTCAAAAGAACCTCCTGAAGACTCTGAGGAAGTGCCACCCCTTACCAAAGTCCCCAGAACGGAGGAGGCAGCCAATGGAGATGTGCTTGACACTTTCATGTTTCCTTGTCAGCATTGTGAAAGGAAGTTTACAACCAAGCAGGGACTCGAGCGTCACATGCACATCCACATGTCTACAGTCAATCATGCTTTCAAGTGCAAATACTGTGGGAAGGCATTTGGCACTCAGATTAACAGGAGGCGGCACGAGCGGCGCCATGAAGCAGGGTTAAAACGAAAACCTAGCCTGATACTACAGCCTCCAGAAGAGCTGGCTGATGGCAAAGTTTCTGGAGAAAAAGCTCTTCCTAAAGATGAGTCAAATCCTCCACTTGGGCAAGACTGTTTGATCTTGAACTCAGAGAATGCCTCCCAGGAAACAGTAAATTCGTCCATTGTAGAGGAGAATGGGGAAGTGAAAGAACTTCATCCATGCAAATACTGTAAGAAGGTTTTTGGAACTCATACAAATATGAGACGGCATCAACGCAGAGTTCATGAACGCCACCTGATTCCCAAAGGTGTCCGGCGGAAAGGAGGCTTTGTAGAAGAGCCACAGCCCCCAGCAGAACAGGCCCAGCCTACCCAGAATGTCTACGTTCCAAGCACCGAGCCAGAGGAGGAAGGAGAGGCCGATGATGTATACATCATGGATATTTCTAGCAATATCTCTGAAAACTTAAATTACTACATTGATGGTAAGATTCAGACCAACAGCAGCACTAGTAACTGTGATGTGATCGAGATGGAGTCTAATTCAGCAGACTTGTATGACATAAATTGTCTTCTCACTCCAGTTACGGTAGAGATTACTCAAAATATAAAGACTGCCCCGGTTCCAGTAAGCGATGATCTTCCGAAGGAGCCTCCCAGCAGCACAAACTGTGAGTCCAAGAAACGGAGGACTGCCAGTCCACCAGTGCTCCCCAAGATTAAAACGGAAATGGATTCTGAGCCTGGGGCCCCACCATGCTCCTTAACTCTGCCTCTTAGTGTAGCAACGACTGAGGCAGTGTCTTTCCATAAAGAAAAAAGTGTGTATTTGTCATCAAAGCTCAAGCAGCTTCTCCAAACCCAGGACAAGCTGACTCCTCCTGCAGGGGTTTCAGCCACTGAGATCCCTAAGTTAGGTCCTGTGTGTGTGTCTACGCCAGCATCCATGTTACCGGGGACCTCCAGTAGATTTAAGAGGCGGACCAGCTCCCCACCCAGCTCTCCGCAGCACAGCCCTGCCCTTCGGGACTTTGGTAAGCCAAGCGATGGGAAGATGGTATGGACAGACACAGTTCTATCTTCCAAGAAGCCCAGGTTAGAAAGCCGTGGTGACTCGCCTGCCTGGAGTTTGTCTGGAAGAGATGAGAGAGAAGCTGGGAGCCCTCCTTGCTTTGAAGAATACAAAGTATCAAAAGAGTGGGCAGCCTCTTCCACTTTCAGCAATGTGTGCAACCAGCAGCCCCTGGATTTGTCCAGTGGTGTCAAGCAGAAGATGGAAGGCGCAGGCAAGACCCCAGTCCAGTGGGAGGCTGTCTTAGATCTCAGTGTGCATAAAAAGCCTTGCCTTGACCTGGAGGGCAAGGAACTCAAAGAAAACCATTTGGCACCGCCAGCCTGTAGTTCTGGAAAGAAAAAGAAACCAACCACATGCATGCTGCAGAAGGTCCTGCTTAATGAGTACAATGGCATCGATGTGCCCGGGGAAGCTGCTCCTGACATGGCCAGGAGCCCGAGTCCTTGTAAATCCCTAGATGCCCAGCCAGACCCTGACCTGGGTCCTGACTCCAGCTTCTCTGCCCCTGCTGTTGAGTCCCCACCTGAAGCTTGTCCCTCATCACCCACCCTGCAGACCACTTCCCTGTCTTCTTCTCAGCTGCCTCCTCTCTTGGTCCCCACGGACCCCACTTCCCCTCCACCCTGCCCTCCTGTGTTAACTGTTGCCACTCCGCCCCCTCCTCTGCTGCCTACTGTCCCTCTTCCTACCCCCTCTTGTGATGCTTCTCCTCGCCCATGTCCCTCTCCACTCTCAAATGCCACTGCCCAGTCTCCCCTTCCAATTCTGTCCCCAACAGTGTCTCCTTCCCCCTCTCCCATCCCTCCTGTGGAGCCACTTGTGTCTGCTGCTTCACCTGGACCTCCTAAGCTTTCTTCCTCCTCTACCTCCTCTGCCTCCTCATCCTCCTCCTCCTCATTCTCGTCTTCCCCTGCCTCCTCCTCCCCTTCACCACCCCCTCTGTCAGCAGTGTCATCAGTAGTTTCCTCTGGGGACAATCTGGAGGCTGTTCTCCCTTCAATAACTTTGAAACAGGAGGAGTTAGAGACTGAAGGTGTGAAGCCCAGGGAAGAGCCCCAGCCTGCAGTTGAACAGGATGTTATTCAGGAAACATTCAGCAAAAACTTCATTTGCAATGTCTGTGAATCACCTTTTCTTTCCATTAAAGATCTAACCAAGCATTTATCTATTCATGCTGAAGAATGGCCCTTCAAATGTGAATTTTGTGTCCAGCTTTTTAAGGATAAAACTGATTTATCAGAGCATCGCTTTATGCTTCATGGAGTTGGGAATATCTTTGTGTGTTCTGTATGTAAAAAGGAATTTGCTTTTTTGTGCAATTTACAGCAACACCAGCGAGATCTCCACCCAGACCAAGTGTGTACACACCATGAGTTTGAAAGCGGGACCTTAAGGCCCCAGAACTTTACAGACCCCAGCAAGGCCCACATGGAGCATATGCAGGGCTTGCCAGAAGATGCTCTGGAACCTTCAAAAGAAGAAGAGGAATTAAATGATTCCTCTGAGGAGCTTTACACCACCATAAAAATAATGGCTTCTGGAATAAAGACAAAAGATCCAGATGTTCGATTGGGTCTCAATCAGCATTACCCAAGCTTTAAGCCACCCCCATTTCAGTACCATCACCGAAACCCCATGGGTATTGGGGTGACAGCTACAAACTTTACTACCCACAATATTCCGCAGACTTTCACCACGGCCATCCGCTGCACAAAATGCGGGAAAGGCGTTGACAACATGCCTGAGTTGCACAAACACATCCTGGCATGTGCCTCTGCCAGTGACAAGAAGAGGTACACTCCCAAGAAAAACCCGGTACCTTTGAAACAAACCGTGCAGCCCAAAAATGGAGTGGTAGTTTCAGATGGCCCTGGGAAAAATGCTTTCAGAAGAATGGGGCAGCCCAAAAGACTGAACTTCAGTGTGGAGCTCAGCAAAATGTCACCAAACAAGCTGAAATTAAATGCCTTGAAGAAAAAAAACCAACTTGTCCAGAAAGCAATCCTTCAAAAAAACAAATCTGCCAAGCAGAAGGCTGACTTGAGAAATGCTACTGAGTCGTCCTCACACATCTGCCCTTACTGCAACAGGGAGTTCACGTACATTGGCAGCCTGAACAAGCATGCCGCTTTCAGCTGCCCCAAAAAGCCCCTTTCTCCTTCCAAAAGAAAAGTTTCTCACTCCTCCAAGAAAAGTGGCCACCCGTCTCCTGCAAGCGGGGAGAAGAATCACAGCAGCAGCCACCGCCGGCGGACCGCAGATGCTGAGATCAAGATGCAGAGCACGCAGGCACCTCTGGGCAAGACCAGAGCTCGCAGCTCAGGTCCTGGACAAGTCTCGTTGCCCTCCTCGTCCTTCAGGTCCAAGCAGAACGTCAAGTTTGCAGCTTCGGTCAAGGCCAAAAAAACAAACTCCTCTTTAAGAAACTCCAGCCCCGTAAGAATGGCCAAAATGACCCACATGGAGGGCAGGAAATCCAAAGCTGTGGCCAAGAACCATTCTGCTCAGCTCTCAAACAAACCGTCCCGGACCCTGCATGTGAGGGTACAGAAAAGCAAAGCTGTTTTGCAGAATAAGTCTGCTCTGACAAGTAAGAAGAGAACAGACCGGTTCAATGTAAAATCTAGAGAACGGAGTGGGGGCCCGATTACTCGAAGCCTTCAGCTGGCAGCTGCTGCGGATCTGAGTGAGAACAGGAGTGAGGACAGCAGTGCCAGGCACGAGCTGAAGGACTTCAGGTAAGCCCGGAGCTTGGGGGAGGTAAGGCTGGTGCAGGAAATGGTGTTCTGGTTTAACTCTTCTCCTGCAAGATTTTGACAAGCTCTAGGCATGAATGGTTACTGCTTTGACTCTTGTAGAGATGAATGAATAAATACTTGTTATTTCAGACCAAGGACTCAAAAAGTGGTACCATTTCTTTGAGTTTGAATCCATGGGAAAGCCCTTGAAAGTACCCCATGTGAAAAGACAAGGTTTCTTACACTTGGTTTATATTATCTTGGATATTATCTCAGTCACTTGTATTATTTCCTGATCATAAATCATGTCTTCGGTTGAGGTGGAATGTGAGTGAGGTCATTAGCAAACTGGTCTTGGGTAGTAGCTGTGATTTCCACATAGTTAGCAATAATAAACTGGTACTTTTAATATTGATGCTTTCTCTCACTAATAGTTTGAATTTTAAGCACTTGCCATGTTGGTAAAAAAAAAAACCCACTGTATTTCTATAAATGCCTTAGGGTCTTCCCTTCCCTGCCTCTAGCCATAGGGTGAGTGATCAGCGAGCCAGGTTCCAAAGGTGAAGAGAAGAGAGGGTGCTTAGAGCTGTAGGAAGGGACCCCTTTTTCCCAGCTCCCCATTTCCCCTCCCCCTGTTCTCCTCCCCCCCCCCCAACTCTTTTAGGCCTGTGGTGACCAGGGCAGGTTGTTTGTTAGTGCCTTTTCACCAGTAGTGAGTTTAATGACTCGTCTCAGATTTGAGCTGACTTTTCTGCCTTATTCCATGCTCTTCCCACATTGAGAACTGTTCTCAGGGACAGATAGAAAGATGTGGCCTTAGTTAAGTTTGTGACATTGACTTCTAGAGGTTTCTGAGCCACTTACCCTGAGTCGATGTGCATTCCTAGAATTCTTGCTGGTTCCCAAATAATGCCTGTAGATCAGGTTCTTGTGAAGCTCTCTCATTTGTCATCAAATGGCATTTCTGCAAATGCTTTCGAATCTTCTCTTTCCAGAATATGTAGCCTGACCCGACCCTGGGCTTTCATAGCTACAATGTTCAGAGTTTTAAAGCAGACAGAATAAGGACTAACTGGAGTGGCCTCTTAGAGAAGGCATGAAACACAGAGGTGAGGTGATTACTGCATAGAATTCTTGAAGCTGATGTGCTTTGTAGCAGGGCTGAAGACATCAGGAACACTCACTGGTGGTTCCCTGGGGAAGTGAAGGAGCGAGTTCTTCAGGAACATGCAGTGGCCAAGGCGACCCATAGATTGGTGTGCCTTGGAATTGCCTGATGGATCTGTGTACCTGCATGGGCTCAGCCTGTGTCATAGAGGTTCCCTGCCAGCAGCATAGTGAGAGCTCAGGGATAAAGTTGATAAGAAAAGCTGTCAAGAAATGACGCTCATTTGTGAAGTTTGTTCATTCTTTCATAGTACTTAGTTCAAAGAGCCCTTAAAGTTGCTAAGGGCTAGCGTGCCTTAAGAAGTGTTTCTCCCTCCTTTATTCTAATGTTAATTGTTTTGCTTTGCTTCATAGTTAGAGGATTACATTGCTTGAGTCAAATTTGGACTGAAAAGATAGATAAGAAAATAAGGTAATGTGCCAACTGGTTGGTAGATAGATGGTGGCAGCAGTCACCCTTTTGGCTGTTTGTCCCTTGTGAGGCACTGGAGCTGTGCTGGGGTCATAGCTGTGGGACCATGGCTGCTACCCAGGGACCAGGGCACTTACCCAGTAACCTTGTAAAGTGCTTTGAGGAGTTGCAAAGCACGTGTCCAAGAGAACATCCTATTTTTATTGGGCATGAGAGTGGTGGGTATTTCTTCAGAGCTTACTTGGGTTGTCCTAGTACTTTGTACAAAGCTGGCATTCCTGACCTCAAAGCTGGGGCATCTGTATGCTGGATGTTGATAACTCATCATCCCAGCTGACACAGATTAGGCCTCATCTCCACATGTTTGTTGTGTTAACTGGTATGGAGTGGTTTACCTTCTAGTTGTCTTCTTGCTTCAGTATGTTTCCACGTACAAATTCAGTTCAGAGATGGTTTTGTGATGCAGAACACCTGCTTTAAACCAAGACCTAACTCTCCCTCCCTCCATGGGCATGCTGGGCTCTTGTCCTAAAACTAGCAGTATATCCTTTTCCTGCTTTTTTTTTTTTTTTATAACAACGCACCTCATTTGAAAGCCAGCTGAAGGCCTGCCCACCTCCAGTATGTAGTTGTAGCTAGTTTGCCATTTAACAGAGGGCTCTGTGGACTTTGTCAGTTGATCACTTCCAGGAGCCACCAGCCTTTGTGCCATTAAGGGTTTACAGAAGCAGACTGCAACTAGTCCAGAAAACTGAAAGGTAGAAAAGCCAGACAAAATGCCATACCAGATCCCTCTTCATGAGTTGAAGTACAGCACTCGCTTCCCCTGACACATCTCTGCCACATGGCTTGGAAATGACCCTGAGAAACGAGCCTGCCATAATTATCCTGGCCTGTGGCTTTGGAGTAGGACACTGAGTTCCAAATGCAAATGCCTTCAGAGTCATTTATGTTTGTCTTGATAACATTTGTCTTATGGTCCCTTCACCTTTTTCTTTTAACATGGTCAATTCATGTACGATTGTGTTATGTTGTCATTTATCTTCAGTTTTCTTATTTTCTAGGAACTTCCTGTAGAAAAGCCCCCCAAACAAAACAGCCCTTAATTGACTAAAAGATATTGCATGCTCAACTTAGGATAAGCACTACGGCAAAGGATATGAAATCTACCAACCTTGCAAGACCATTTGAAGCTGACTCAAAAGCTGTAACATACAGCTGCTTGCCGGCAGGCTCCTTGTTGCCCTGGTTAGAGTCAGGCATCTGCTTCTTCACTGGTGCCCACATGCAAGCTGGGCTCCCAGGGAACTGAGATCCAAAGAGAAGGGCACTGTGAGACGGGCTAGCCACACAGGCTCCTCGTCGGGACTAGGACTCAGGTCTCAGTGTGGCCCCGGGTGTGTTTGGCACATAGAGAAGGGAATGCTTGAATTGAACCTTGCAAAGCAAGTTCTCTATCAGCAGTTGATTGTAGATTTCAGGGATAACAGATATGATGCACTCAGTTTAAAACGTTCTTTCACACACCAGCTCTTGATGGCCTTTCTGTTAACGTGAATTACAGAGAGAAAGAGAGAGAGAGAGAGAGGCACTGGGCTGATCTCTTCCCATCCTTCCCTCACCCCTTTTTAAAAATCATAAGCAGATTGCCAGCATAATGGAGAGGAAACCACATTGGATATGGACTCTTATGCCTCTTTATGCCTAATGTCTTGTATATATCCAAATGGACATTATCCTCTCAGATTGTTATCTGGCACTAATTTATAGCTATTGTATTATGAGAGATGATGTAGCGGTATGTCAATACACAGAGTGCTCTGCAGGCCTGGATAGTCCACGCGTAAGTATAAATCAGTGCACATCCCAGGCTCACGCAAGTCTCTAGCAGAGATTAAAAGCAACAAATTGGCCTCTTATGTGTAGCAGTATCATTCTCTATGCGTTTTTATGCTTCTCCCCCACTCCCCCAAAAATTAATGACAGAGTTGGTGGAAAATGCCTGCATTTTATTCATACTGTTTTTGTTATCAACTTCAAAAGTAATCTACCTCTTAAAGATTGTAGTTGAATGCTTATTTGGTGAACTTGTGCCACTTTAACTCTTTCACTGTCATTCCCATTTTGTTACATTTCTGTTATGGGGACTTCATGTTGAAATATTGTATCAAATGCATTTGTAGCGGTTTAAAAATAAACTATTTAAAATTATTTAAATTGTTTTGGATGCTTCAATTGTATCATACGTGATTTACGTTTTCATTTTTGTTTGCATTGTTAATCTGGAGAGTGTCTTGTATTGAAGTTTGCTGTTAGTTATTTTATTCTTGTTGAAGAGTGCTACAAAAGATTATTCTAATGAACACATTAAACTTTACAGTTTGACATACAAAAAGAGGCTGTTCATTGATTTTAACTAATAGAGCCTTCAGAAAGACAGAGAGAGAATCTGGTTATAGCAGAGGTCGCTACCTTTCTCTGCTAGCATGGAAATGTGTCCTTGTCAGCTGTATAAGAAAAGATGTTTTATGTTATGACTACAGACACCTAATCATTAAGGGAGAATTATTTTAATGACACATTTTATATAATTGTAACCAATAAAAACTTTGTAAACACTTGTGGAAGGACTGCGTTTTGTACCAATGGGAAGAGTGAAGGGCAAGAGGAAGGCTGAGCAGTTTCTGGGTAGGGGATGCAGCACTGGGGTTTGAACTCAGGGCCTTGGGCTTACTAGGCAAGACTTCTGCCGCTTGAGCCATGCCCCATCCCTCTTGGGCTTCGGTTGTTTTTCAGATAGGGTCTTGTGCTTTTGTCCAGGATGGGCCTGGGAACCAGGATTGCCCTATCTCCCGCCCAGCTGAGATCACAGGCACACACTGCCACACCAGGCTTATTTGTTGAGATGCATTAATGTCTTTTGCCCAGGCTGACCTCGAATCACAATCCCCCAAATTCTGCCTCCTGAGTAGCTGGGAATACTGGCCTTGTGCCACCGTACTGGTTGGCTGGGTAAGCACTTTGTTTTAAGTACAGCACGTGGCGTGTGGTCAGCCCATGAGGTCTTCCTTTGCCTGCTTTATTTGGCACTGGTTGGAAATTTGCTAATTCCAGTACTGTATTGTGTCTGGAGGGCAGATACATAGTTGGACAGCAATGCCAGGAAGTGCCTTGTGGACCGAATTGGTAAGTGTGAATAAAATATTTTGTTTTGGGGTTTCTTCATTTACTATAGTTTAGTTGACCTTTATTTTTGTGACTCTCCTAACAAGAAGGCAAAGACATTGTAACCTTTGTTTTAGGGTTTCCTCCAGCTGCAGTGTTTTAAGAACCAAAGTGTTTGGGGGTATCAGTTGTTCCTGGAGGCCACCATAGCACTTCCTGTGTCATCCTCAGTGTACATCCAGTATCCTCCAGGAGGGCGCTATAGGCATGACTGACTTTGGGGGGGAAGGGATGGGGGTAGGAGTGTCACCCTTGAGGCCTCCTAGGTTCCTTACATTAGGAATGGGGCTGTGGGGCACTGGGAATTTATAAATGGCCTTTAGTTTTGGTAGTTTTAAATACTCAGGTGCATAAACACACAGCAGTGCCCTGTGGAGGAACTGGGCATCATAGAGAGCAGAGCCTTTGACTGGGCAGGAGACCTGGGGTGGGGTGGGGGGTCCCTCCTGGCATACCCGCCTGCCACTCACCCCCAGGTGTTCAGGAAGCACATCACGAGGCCTTGGAGAAGGTGTCCTGTTTTCTGGATCTTAGTCCCTAGTTTGCAGAGGTGAGGACCGGGTCTTGTGCAGCCCCTGGCTGTGCATGCTGCTCCAAGGAGCTGGCCAGGCTCCAGTTCTCATCACCCTGGCTCTGACACTAGGGCCTTGCATACAAGTTACAAGTTGCTGCTTGACCACTGTCTTGCTGCCTCATTTTGGTTCTTTTACTTCAAAGTCCATGACTGTTTCTGGGCCTCTCAGTGTGCAATGAGGACTCCCTGTCCAGGCTGATGATGCAGAAGGCTGTCGTCAGGGCTTGCTGGGTATTCAGTACCTACTGGGCTAGGTCCTCGGATCTTTGGACACATGAGAGGCTGTAATTCCTGGTCCTGTGAGCTTCTGCTTTCCTGTTGGGTTGCCCCTCATTTTGAGGGCGATGGTTCTGGTGTCACGCTTGAGCTCTGACATTTGGACAGCTACAGTACATGGTACTTTATGGAAGGACTGCTGAGAAGAGCTCACTTCGTGGGTTGAAGGCTGCATTCATGGAGATCTTGATTTCATAAAGTTTGCTTAGGTCGGCTTATATTCATAAAAATCCCTATAGGGTGATTTGCCTTGAAAAAGATGGACAAGAGTCCAGGTATGTGGAAGAGGGCTAGTCTGATGGATGGATATGGAGTCCACAGGGCCAGTGCTCCAAGGACTAGGCAGGCTCTGCTTCCCTGAGAACTTGCTTCCTGTGGCACCAGCCCTGCCGCTACCCCCTGGGACCAGCTCTCAGTAAAGGTTCTAGTAAAGCCCTGTGGGTGGTGTGTGTTGAAGAGATGTAAGTTGGGCCATACAACCCTGCTCGCTAGGTTAGGGTTAGGGTGTGGTTCACCTGGGGCCAGCCTTTTGCTTTAGACAAATTATTTAGTGTTTACCCCGCCTTTATAAGCTATGGGTAATTTGAGTACACAGAGAAGAACTTGTGCATGCTGGGAAATAAGGAATGCTTCTAATTCTTCATTGTTAGAAGGCTTGCAGATTCTGCTATGACACTCAGCACCACATGTAATCCCTTAGGTCTCTGTGTGGTCAGCACCCATGTCTGAAGGCTGAGGGTTATTAGAGGTGAAGAACCAGGGCTGTTCTGGCTTTTTTTTTTTTTCTTGTGCCAGGACTGGGGGACTTGAACTCAGGGACAGGGTGCTATCCCTTAGCTTTTATATCCAAAGCTGGTACAGCTCCCACTTTTGACTTTCATTCATTGGAGATAAACATCTCATGGACTTTATACCCTGGCTTTAACCCATGGTCCTCAGATCTCAGCCTTTTGAGTAACTAGGATTACCAGTGGGCCTGAGCCACTGGCTTTGAAGTCTCTCTTGGTCCTTGGGAGCTGAAGGCTTGTGTGCTGCAGGGGGAGCGGGGACCTTGGCCTGTCAGCTGCTGCTTTTCCACTGTGTTTGTGGCCAGGTTAGCCCCGTTAGTGCCTTGGCCATTCCTCCTATAGGGCTTGCCTTATGCAGGACTGTAACACATGCCCTGAAAGGTCAGCTGATAAAAATGAGATCCAGATGGGTGGCACCTCTGATGTTTAACAACATTCTAGACTGAGTCCCCCAATGGAGCCAGCAGTGACACTGAGCAGTGCGTGAGCTCTGTGGATGGATGTGAGGTCAGGAGGGAAAATGGAAATGGATACTTACTGGTTGGCACATGGACACTCTGCCACAGGGCCAGCACCTGCTTCCAGCCACCACCAGCCTCTTTCACATCACCTCTCCCACCTGCCCCTCCTGCTCCAGCAAGCTGCTCTGCAGAGTACTGGGATAAGTGCTTTTCTGGGATGGAGTCCAGACCCTTGCACAGGCCAGAAAAGCCTTCTTCCAGACTCCCAGTGCTGAATAAGCTGTTCAGACTGAGAGGCTGTCATGCTGGGTGGTGCTGTCACTTGGAGTGACTTGGAGGGCCGGAAGTGATTCTTTCGGGAGAACATTGTTGGATGTTGGCTCCTACCCTCTTTGCGTGTCTCTAGTGGCTTTAGTTTCCTCAGTGCAGAACTTTGGCCTAACACTGCTCCATGAAAGCCTGCCAGCATCAGTAAGCATACTGGACAGTCACCTGAGGGGTGAGGGTCTCCTGGCCAGCAAGCCGCTCCTCAGCAGGAGCTTTAGGAGGAATTAGCAGTGGCCTTAACCACTCACCCCTCAGGAGGAACATGCTACCACTATATCCACTGGTTCAAGGCCCCCTGCATGTCAGAGCCCATTGCTTCCTCAGGTCTGGTTGTGGAAAACAGGCTTATGGTTCGGGAGAGGACTAAGGAGAGCGCCTGGGGTGTTGTGAGACACCTCAGGTACAGGTGCCCCCAGAGGACCTTGGCCTGATCTGCAGGGTATGAACTCAAAAAGAGTTGGTCCAGGCTCACTTCTCACCCCAACAAAAAGTGCATTAAAATTTGCCACTAGAGCATTGGACATAGAGGGCATTTGTGTGTGTGTAGGGGTGAGGTGGCTTCATTTACCGTCTGGATTACAAAGAATTGGAAAACCATCACTATTTTGCATAAAGTTAGTTGCAGCCACTGAAAAAAGTCAAGTTCAATGGTGAACCACAGAAGGGGCGTGGGGATACTTTTATGAGAGGAAAATTTACCAGCCTATTGGGACAATAGGACTTGCGTTTCCTGCCTTACAGGTGTCAGCTGGATTTCTTTGCAAGTCTTTGTGATTGTAGTAGAAATATCTGAAGACTTGACTTCCTAAATGTGCCTTCTCTTGTCCCACCAACAAACCATAGCAGAAAGCCCACCGGGGAAACTGTTTCTGCACGTCCCGTGATCCGTGCCAGCTGAGCACCTCCTGTGTGGAGGAAGTACAGGGTCACTTGGCAGGGGAGGACACGATTGTATTTGAACATGCTGCTAGACAGGTTCCCTCCTATATCATCTGCAATCGCCAAGTTTTAACATTGAATCCAAAGGAAATTTTAAATAGGACCTGGGATTTGCTGCACAGGTAAGTTAATTAACCAAAGGACACTGAGGCCTTGAGGGTAGAGCTGCAGCAACTTTAATTTTTTTACTTACAAGCAATTTCAATTTCAAGCAGTTGGCTGTTTCTTAGTGTTTAGTTTTGCCAAAAAATGTAATATTCTTTATTGGAATGAAATTATTTAAAGACTCACGATTCAGTGTTCCTTGTGGCAACATTCTCCTGTTTTATAATCACATGCAATGCTTGCCAGCCAATCTAGAGTGGAGGAACATTTTCAGATGGCTGTTTTTCCCGAGCTATTAATGGAAGTTGGGAGTTCAAGCACATCCTGCAGCAATATGCGTTTTCAAACTTAAAACCTTAAGTGGCCAGCCTGGATTGTAAGGGTGTCAGGCTGTGGAGCTGATGCATTCTGCAGGGTGGCTGGGACTGTGTGAGGACCTGGGTGCTGCCAGCTGCGGTTGAGGGAGCTGGTGTTGCTGGCTGCCGCTGTACACAGCCATGGCTTCATTCATCTTGA